CAGGAACAAGACAAGGGTGTCCACTCTCATCACTATTATTCAACATAGCTTTGGAAGTCCTAGCCATGGCAATCAGAGAAGAAAAGGAAATAAAAGGAATCCAAATTGGAAAAGAAGAAGTAAAACTGTCACTGTTTGCAGATGACATGATACTATACATAGAAAATCCTAAAGATGCCACCAGAAAACTACTAGAGCAAATCAATGAATTCAGTAAAGTTGCAGGATACAAAATTAATACATGGAAGGAGTGCCTTTTTCTAATTTGTACAAAGGGATTTTATGGACTATTGATGGCCCTCGCTCTAAGGATCTCAAAGTCAAAAAAAAAATATATATATATATATTTTTTTAAATTTGTGGATAAAACACATATCCCTTGTTTCTCAGAGGTCTGTCTGCTACCCTCTGCCATCTACCTTAAAACTGTACCCAGAAAAGTGCATGGCATATTAAGGAAAAAAAAAAAACATTTAGCATGTTTTTTTCAATTTGAAAGACAGATATTAAGACAACTACTTAAAAAAAAAAAGGTAAAAATGTCCACCCAACAATTTTAATACAGTCGTATCTTATATTTTACCAAAAATGATGTACTCCTCAAAAGTTTTGTTATAGGGCTTCCCTGGTGGCACAGTGGTTGAGAGTCCGCCTGCTGATGCAGGGGACACGGGTTCGTGCCCCGGTCCGGGAAGATCCCACATGCTGCGGAGCAGCTGGTCCCGTGAGCTATGGCCGCTGAGCCTGCACGTCCGGAGCCTGTGCTCCGCAATGGGAGAGGCCACAGCAGTGAGAGGCTCGCGTACCGCAAAAAAAAAAAAAAAAAGTTTTGTTATAACATGAATTTGTGTGAATTACTTTATACTTCAAATGCATAATGCATGCTTTTCATTTGAAAAAACTAAAATATAAAAAAATAGCGTTCTCTAATTTCTCTATTTTCTTTTGTTTGTATGTTAGGTGATGGAGGTATGGAGGTGATGTAGTTAGCTTAAAATATATTAAGAGGATGTAGGCCAAAGTGACTTCTTGGCTTACTGGCCTGACAAAGACCCTTAAGAATCATGCCCTCTATGGTATCACCACTCGTGGGAATCTGGGACAACAATGAGAGACGGATGGCAGAGCAAGAATCAAATATCATTCATCTTTATATCCTTAGCAGTATCTAGTACAGTGCCAAGTACACAGTAGTATTCAAAAGTAACTGCTGGGTGGCAGAAGGAAAACAAAAACAAAAGACATATCAGTTTTAAAGAAAACAGTAAAATCCTAACTTGAAAAGCACCTGATTATGTGATAAATTGTGCAATGTAAATTACATGTCCCTTCAGAAAAAAATTTCAGTATGGATGATTATTTAGGCAATACAATATCATTCTTATTATTATTACAACTTCTCTGCAATCACTCAGATCCTCTGATTCCAAAACTACTCCACATCCACCTTCCAAAACAGACTGTGGTTTAGGCTTTAGAGCAAGATTCTCAAAGTGTGGTCCATGGACTTGTGCCAGAAATGCCTGTAATGGTCTGCAATGAGTTAAGCACGGAAATTCAAAGTAAGCATTTTAAGAACCTTCACGGCAAAACTGTAACTATGTGAAGTGATGGCTGTGTTAACTAATTTTATTGTGCTAATTATTTCATAATATATACACACATCAAATCATTACATTGTAAACCTTAAACTTACACAATGCTACATGTCAATTATATTTCAAAAAGCTGGGGGGAAAAAAAAGAAACTTCATAGCAATTTGACAAAGTAATTTTATTTCTATTGAATGCAGTATCAAAAAATTTCATTTTGTTTTTCTAGTGATCCATTTTTTTTGTATTTTACCAAAGTACCAGTGTGAGAGGGATTATAATTTTTTTTTAAAAAGTCCTTCAACACAGAGCTTGGAGCAACACAACTGCTGAAGAAGTGAATCCTCGGAGACTTTTTCAAACTTTCACTACTTTCAGTTACTATTCTCAAAAACATGAGGAAAAAAAAATGTAGCAAGAGATTTAAAATGCAGAAATAAAATAATATCACTTAAAATATTCTTATTTACACTTTGTCTTTACAAATGGCATCATGATGTAAGGTTAAACATAACAGACTTTCAGCTTTATATTTCCATCAGTATCACTATAAAGTTTTTAAATTATTATTTATTGTAGCATATTTCATGTAAGTTCCTCAATCCTGACAGATTCTCAGTAATTGCTAATTATACCTGAAACCATTAAGTATTATTTATACATAAATGGGGAAACCTTAGTTAACAGATTTGCCTAAGGCCAGACTTTCCGGTACAGAACCTGCAGCTCCTAACTCTCAATGTCAATTCTTTCCATAATGCAACAGAACATGTTAGTACTCATTTAAAGATATGTGTTCACAGAAACCCAGCAACGAAATAAAAGGAACACCTTATAAGCTTAGAACTCCCTCTGTTGTGTGTATGTGATCTTCAAAGTCCATGTTCTTAAAACTAAAAATAAGCAAAATAGTTAGATAATTTTTTAAAATTTTAACTAGGTTATATAATTTCAGATTTACTGGCAATAAAATTATTTTAACTTCTGCATGCATTTTACAGAACTGCCTCAAATGCTTAATTTGCCCTGACAAGGTAAAGCAAAGTGGCAAGTGAACAAGTGAAATGCTCTGGAGCAAAGTTTAGTTCATTAAACTTATTACCAAAAAAATCCAAACTTCAACATGTGAAAATCAAACCACTTTAAAACGTACATTATTCCACTTGGCTATATCTTACATTCTTAAATAATCAACATTGACAGAACAGCATAAGAAATGTCATACCCAGCTTTCTAGAGTTAGTCTATAAACACACACTTTAAACACCTAAAAAAATACACACCTTAAGGATTTCTTTTAAAAAATTTTAATCACTCAAGACAAAAGTTTCTTTAAATGATTAAGCAATATGATATCAATATGAGATTATAAATGTATAAAATCTATTCCCCTAACTGGGGAGAATTTGGGGCTAAAATGTAGGTCCTTATCCACTTAACAAAGGCAATGTTAAAAGAAAAAAAAAAAAGGTAAATTTATAAGGCTGTAGCAGGTTAATGCATGATTTTTTTTTTAATTAATAAATCATCCTCAGTACACAAGGAAAATGCTTTCACTGGAACTTTTTGACTCATATGTTAAACTGAATTTAGCATATTCCAAAGTTGAGCTGTTTAGCATACTGTTCACTACAGCTGCACTTTTCTTCCATCATGTCAATCAGAAATCTAAATATATCCTAGAAAAGAATAAACTCTACCCAAGAAGACAGATTGTAATGTGTTTTTAGATTTTTGGAATGATCCCCACTTCTGTGGTGTAAACAAATGTTTAGGCAGATCCTTTCGAAATCTTTTGCAATTTTCATTAGAAAGACAATGTTGATAAAAGATCCTTTTTCTCTTTTATGAGTTGTAAAAGGTAATTACAGCTATTTGTGTTGGATAATCTTGGGAAAGGCTTGCGACAACTGCACATACAATGTAAAAATAAAAACACAAGAGGAAACATAGACAACTTGGCTTTCATTTTACTTCAGAGTACACCAAACAAGTAGAAGAAAACACTAGCTTTAAAATCAAATATACTTCTTCCTAGAGATTTTTTTTCTCCTTATGTACTGAAATGGAAATGGCAGAGTATGTTTTAAATCTACCTCCTACACATCATTAAGGATCAAAAACGAATCATTTAATCCTTTTGTCAATATTGACCATAAAATACTGCATATGGTGAATATAAGCAGATGTGTCCTCTACTTCAGAGTAACAGGGAAGTCACCTTTTAAAAAGTTAAATTTTAAAAATAAAATGGTAGACAACCGCCTGCCTACCAAAATTAAATTAATCATGATTTTTTTTCTGACTTCAAAAGCAATCAAGAAATTGTTAGAATTTTAATTGGGTTATTATAAAAAGCAAGTTATCACCTCAAATAGAATGCAACCTTTTCATAAGAGTATATGTACAAGTCACAGAAAGTGCCTCCCAAAACATTATGACTAGTAAATGTCTCCCCATCCCTGAAACAAACCATCAGAATATGGTCCCCCAAATCCCTATTAACTGAACTAAATCCTTTCCAAGATGAGAGAAGAAACTGTTAAACTTTCAGAACTGCTGTTCAATAAAAGCTGAAGCGTTTACATCTAAATGGGGATGACAGCAGGAAACAAGTGGGAAATATTCCATGAAAAACATCTCACAATCTTTCAACCCAAGCTTTAAAAATCTATCTCCATGGAACAAAGCAAGCTACAGAAAAAAGGAAGAAAGTAAGGAAGGAGGGGAAGGAAAATTAAAGAACACTGCCCCTTTTCTTACAGAATAGAACTGGAGTGCTTTGGCAACTTGTTGATTAACGTTAGGACCATGAAACCATTTTTAAAGCAGAAAATATACTCTATCCAACACTAATAAACTTTACAACGTTGAACATGCACGTTAAGAATATTTTTACTCGTGTTCTGAAAATTCATCTTTTCCTCTACACTGGTGAAAAGGTCGGGTGGGGAAGGGGTACCCTTTCCACTCATGCTTGAACTTCCGGTCTGAATTCTAATTCTCCAAGGCAGAACTTCTGGGTTCCTCTCTCAGTTGTCATGATCTAGGTTCCACTTTAGGCAGGCACTTTCTCAGTTGTCACGTCTAGCTTCCACTTCAGGTAGGCAAAATTCTTGTTGCTTGGGCTTACCTGGCTGTAAATTGAGATCGCTGCTACTACCTTATTTGGGGGGATGTTAGCTGACCTAATCGTTTGAAACCCTTACCTGCATTCGCTGTTTGAAAAGGACCACGAGAATATTACACAGGGATTTTAAGGCACCGGCTGCTTCTATGCCCGCGCAGCTTTTTCAGTTATCAGTACTAACCAGGGGACAGGACTGAAGGCTTTGACATGAACGAGTCACGCGATTAGCACTGTCCCCGGCCCCTCTTTGAAACAAAATCCCACACATACCACTTACCTTGTATGACGTGCTCTGGCGAGATGGTCTTCTTTTCCGATTTATTGCAAATCTCATTGGCTTCAGAAGATATAAGGTGAATGAATTCAGTGCAGCAGTTCACCACCAGCTCCCGGGCATCGTTGGCCACCCGGACATTGGGGAGAGTCTCTTTAATCATCTTATTGATAGCAGCTCTGGGTATAGTGAGATCATCATCGTTTCCAGATGAGGAAGCCATCGTACCTTCCTATCTCTCGCGCCCGACTTTGAAAACTCCCCCAGTTCTGGTCCACTGCTCCACGAAGATTTTTCAAAAGGCTGCCCTCGGAGAGCAATCCGGGGGGCGCTATCAGACGAGGGTGCAGGAAATTAAGGGGGGAGGGGTTGGCTCGAGAGGGCGTGGAACACCCGCGTGTGTGAAAGATTCAGGGCGAGGCTTGGAGCAAATTTGGGGGGGGCGGGCTGAGGATTCTGGGGACAGCACTGCCCAGGTCGCAGAGGGGAAGGCTAGGTGGTCCGGAAATCTGAGCACTGGAGAACCCCCTTCGTGTCTCCTCTGCGGGGCGTGCGCTGTCGCCTAACCGGTTCCCCAACGGCGCCGGAGCAGACGCAAGGTCCAGGGGCACTGGTCTGGCCGCGGTACACGACGGACACCCAGCGGGCTGGGCTCTACAGAGCCGGAGCCCCCGCTGCCAATGCCGCCGCCGCCAGCAGCCGCTGCTGCCGCCTCAGCCAAACCATCCTTGAGACACCCGCGCCGCCGCCTCACAACATGTCGGCCGCGGCCGCTGCTGTAACCGGGGCGGCCTCCGGGGAACAAATACGGTCAGAACCAGGCACAAGGGGAGCGGCAGTGGCGCCGCTGTGGCCGTTTAGCCTGAACGCAGATCGCAGAAGCCAAAGCCGCGGAAACGGTGGTCCGTCCCTCCAGAAGCCAGAGAAGGTTTGCTGGAAGCCTCTCCCGATACCCTTTGCGCTACCGGAAGCCTCGCCCCCACATGTTCCCCCCTCCCTTCCAGACCGACTTCCGGGTGTGGCTGCCGCCCTTCCCCCACCTGCGCTGGCGGGAACCGCCCGTTCTCTCCGCCAGCGGCTTCCGCCTGCTGCTGTCCCGGCACGCGTCCTGGCATCCCGCCCTTTACCAGGAACAGTGGCCGGGCGACCGCGCGCCTCGCGGTACCGGGGAGCCCCAAGCACGCACCGGGGTTTCGGCGCCAGACTCGGGTTGGGGTGGGTGGGTGGCCCGGCGAGGGTGGATCGCCGCCACTGCCTTCTCTCAGCCAGCTGAGGCCTCGGAATCCTTTCCTAGCCAAGTTTGGAGACAAAGGAGCGCTGGATTTCGTTAAAAGAACTCTTTGCTAACCTTCAGGAGCCCGAATTGAGGTTGAAAGGAAGAGGAACGAAGCCGAGGCTCGGGAGTGGGATGCGGGCAAAGCAGAACCCCGTGTGCCTGGGTTTGCATCGTCCGGAGGAAAAAGCTTTTGATGATATCTAATAGACGTTATTCGGCTCAAAGCTCTCTATGGTCCTCCACCCATTTTCTGGTTTTATGGGAAATGAAACATTCAGAGAAGTGACTTGCCCTCCCAGCCACTACTAATAGCTAAGCTGGAAACTAGAAATAAGATCCAACGTAGTGGAAAGGCGTAGTGTACAATGAGCCAAATTACAAGGTTCCAGCTTAGACATTTTTCATGTTGTATTGCACGTTGGCTTCTGATGAGGCGGAAAAAAAGTGTGTTAAAGTATCTTAACTCTGATTTTTGCTTCTCTCCAGGGAAGCAAACGTGTGTCAAGTTCTTAACAAAAATTGCATTATTTTTAAAAACTAAGTTTGCCATACTGTCATTTTGAAGAAGAGGCTGTGTTATATAAATAGCGTGTTGCAATTTCTAAAAAGTAACCAAGATACCATTTAAATCAGTTTAGGCACTTTAGTTAATGGGATACTTTGTTCTCCATACATTGGCAGCAGCTGGCTTGTTTGAAATGTTTTAAAGTTTTTTATTTCGGTGTAAGACCCTAGATGTGGCACCTTGAGGAGAACTTACTTACACTTTTTTTTTTCATTTAACGTTTTCTCCAGTACACTTGCAGGTTCTTTAATTTCTTAAGTGTAGACACTTGTTTTTCAGTGTTCCTAAGTTTAGTCAAAACAAAATTTCTTTGATAAAACAATATTTTTAAATTTTTCTTCAAAATAGGAATGTGAAGGAATGTGTTGGCGCAGATGTTGGCTCTCTATTGTGTTTTTGTAAGTCAGTTTACTGTTAATTTAAAGAGTTATAGTGTCTAAATTTATCTCAGCCTTACCAAGTTTGTCAGACTGAAAAAGCTAGCTAGCAAAAAATGTCCCCCAAATTATCACATTATTATCACTGACCCAGGTATTATCATTCCTGAAAAAATGTAATAGTGATAGTTATGCTTGTTCATGTAACATTTATGCTACGTAGGCTTATAGAGTTATGATAACATAAATCAGTAGAGCATATGTGTTAAGTTGTTATTCCAGTAATGGTTTATCACTACAGGGTTCTGTGGTAGCATAAACAAGAAATGTGTAGTAAAGGAACCTAGGTTCCAGTCCCAGTTTTTCGTTACTTTAGACAGGCCACTGTCCAAGTCTCCTTTTCTTCAACTAGGAATGGAAATAATATATAACTCAGAAGATTCAAAGTCAAGTGAGACTATGCAAAAGCACTTTTAACATTATGAATTATTATATAGATGTGTTTATGATTGTCATCTTTACCAGGTCTGGGCAGTCTTCAACTAATAATAAGCCATACATAACATGGCTGAGAGAAAATTTAATTAAATATAAATAGTGGGGTGATATTGTAACCGAAAGTGGTGTCTGGCTGCTTGCCGCTCAAAAGCCAATAAAGGGGCAAGGTTGGTGGACAGGAAAGTTTGCTTTGTTTTGGATGCCGGCAAACGGGGTGGGGGGGGTGGGGGGGCGGGGAGGTTGGAGGGCAGACGCCTGTCCAAAGACCGACTCCCCCCCCCCTCCTACAGCCAGTGAGCAAGAACTTTTATAGGTTGAGGGAGAGGGCTACATGCAGAAACAGTACAGTCAGCTCTGACAGTTATCTTGAAATTGGCCATGCGGTGGTCTGACCAGCATCATCTTGGTTTTTTTAGGTACAGTGAATCTTCAGTTCCATGGTCGGTTCGTTCCCATTTCCTTGAGGCCAGTTCTTGGAATTGTGGCAGGGTATGTCATGGCTACAGTCTGGGCATCATGTAGTTAACTTCTTACACCTGGTGTGGGTTTCAGTATCTAGAAGACAGCTCACAGGATACGGCTCAGAATATTATCTATAGCCCTTGAGAAGGAACTAAAGGCCCTTGACTATACTCAATGACTAAACTATTATTATTTGGTCTCCTTTGACTGTTTTCTTTGTCTCTGCATTTTCTCACTTCTCTGACTAAAGTTATTATTTGGCTAAAGTTTTTCCACAGACTAAAGGCAGGCTGAGGACGTGGGACATAGACCATAGGGTCCTGCTCCATTTCAATATATCATGAAATATGCTCATCTGGATCCCAAATTTAAATAGTTATTTATAGAACAATATATCCCTATTATAACTGGGCTTTTGAAAACAAGGGTAACATCTCTTTAATAAGCTTTAAAGGTTTTAGAGAGAATGCATATATATGAAACGTTTTTTTCATGGTATCCAAAAATTCATGATATGAAAAGAAGAAAAGCTGTTTCTTATGATGAGTTAGGCTAACTCTATAGTAGTTATCTTAAAATGTTAGTTTGTAGATGCCTAGGTTTTCAACTAAAATTACTGACAAGAATATTATACCATATGTAATTTGAAGTTAACATTTGAAAAAGCAAACAATACTCTCCATTATGCTCATTTGTTATTACTAACACACCAATTGCTAGCTGGTGATAATTCAAAAGTTTTAAAGAACATTTGTGTACTTCTTTTGTGCTTAGCACGGTGCTAAGTACCTCTTCCTGTATTTTACCCACGTACTTTTACCTGTATTACCTCATTTAATCCTCAGAGCAACCTTATTTGATAGATACTGTTTTAATCTCTCTTTTACATATAAGGAAAGTGAAACTTGGTAAAGCTAAATTACTTCCCTGAAGTCAGTAGATCAGTCAGGATAGGCTAGATTATGTTGCAAGAACAAATAACCCCCAAATCTCAAAAGGTTTATTTCTTATTAATGTTACTGTTTCATCATGGGTCAGCAAGAAGACTTAACGCATAGTAACCACTCAAAAACTCCATTGGAACTGTTGAGAATAAGTAATGAAGGAGCTTTGAAGTACAGGCTTTTGACTATATTTTGAGGTAGAAAAGAACAAAATATTTGTGTTCAAAGTAACAACGTAAAGTTGTGGAGACAGAAATTGTTCTGGAAACAGTGAGGAGGTTGCCTTAATTGGAGTAAAGCGCTTGTGTTGCACAATAGTGAGAGAAAAGTAAGATAGCCAAACATACGAGGCAGCAGAAGTCACGAAGTAATAGAAGCCAAGAGGTAGAGGGGGAGGAGAGAAGTCAGTCAGTTGTAACAAGGGCAACAGAAGCAAGGAGAGAAGCCTTAGGGCCTCAAATGCTGATGTCAGAGAGCTCCCCAAAATAACTAGATCGCTAGAGTGTGGGTGTATTCCGCTTTCGAAAAAGACAGTACGCGTCCATGATGCAGTTTCCTGTGCTTGTTTACTTCCTGTATATCTTCATAATACTCTTCTAAAAATCCTATTTTTGTTCTACACAACTTGAAAGAGTCCAGCTCTAGGCTTTGGCTTCACATCTGGGTTTGATCCCCACTCTGCCACTTAATTAACTGTAACCTTGGGCAAAGTATGTAAGCTGTGTCTTGATTTTTCTCATCTGTAAAATAAGAGTAAGAGTACCTGCTTCACAGAGGTGTTAAAGATCTAATGACATAATGTATACAAAGTAGCCCAGAACGTAAATGCTCAATAAATGGTGATAGTTGTTAAAAATAATGATTGATAATCCTAGGAATGGAATAAAGAAAGATGAATCCAAGAACTATTTCACAGAAGGAGCTGCAAGAACCTGGTAGTTTGGCTCCTAGGTGGTCAAGGAAACAGATCAGTCAAATACAATTCTAAGATTTTTAGCCTCAGAAACTGAGACTAGGGATTAGGGTAGTATCAAAAACAGCAAAATTGAAAGGGAGCAGTTTAGGGAAGATGCGCTTGCTTTTGCACATGTTTGGGTTTGAGGCAACAGTAGGCATTTAAGCAAGTGATGTCCTGTAGCAGTAGAAAGAGAAAGATAGCATCCAATTCTACATTCATTCAATAACTGAGTGTCTACTGTCGTAAGTATAATGTGACAGAAATAAACATACAACATACAACATCCTCCTTGTTTCCGAGGCCCCTACATTCTGTTGGGAGAATCAGAATATAAACCAGATTGAAAAAAAAGTGCTCTAATCAACATACAAGCTAAGAGTGTACAGAGGAAGGAGAGATTAACACACCAGTTGTGAGATACACAGGGCTTTAGGGAAGACAACATTTTAACTGAGCCTTGAAGACTTGAGTAGAATTTTAATAGAGAAGGAAAGAGTATGCAGCTGAAGAAGAAACACAAAAGTACATCATATGAATTAAGAAAATCAAGTAGCCTGCAGTGGTAGGGTTTGTGAAGAGGTATAGTGGGATATGCTGCAGGAAAAGTAAATTAGGCCCAAAAGAGAATCAATCAGTGCCTATTATAAATTACACACTGTGCTAGAAGTTTTCATATTCACCATTTCATTTAATTTTCAGACAGCCGTACAAAATGAGTGTTTTGACAGGTGGGAAGAGAGTTTTAGAGAGGTATACTAATTTGTTCAGAGTCTTATAGATAATGAGTAATAAAGCTGAATTTGAAACCAGGTTGTTGTTTAACTGAAGCTTAGGCTAGTATCAATATGGTAACTATCTCTAAACAAACTAAGAAA